CCACTGCTGTTGGAGGAGTCCTGGTGGTGTGTCTGGTCTGTGTGGTGCTTCTGTGGAGCACAGGAGTTGCTGTCTGCCTCTTCTTCAAACGGGGCAGCTCTGCTTTGGCCCATCCCACCTCCACTGGAGTAGATGGGAAGGAAGCTGCAGCAGCACAGCTGTGGAACTCCCAGTAAATGCCAATTTGTCATGCCTTCCTCACTGGGACCAGGTGTGTCCTTAGTACCTCACATTGCTGGTGTGCAGTGAAGGCTTTGTGTGCCCCCTGCAGAAACAGCCTCTGACCCACTGGCTTTGTTAGAGGGGGAGGAGAGGAGAGGAGAGGAAGTGACCAAGTCCTTCTATCAAATAGATCAAAATTACTTGGTACTTCTGATGTCTTCCTTTTTCTTTGAACACTTGCAACTTCTTCTAAAGCTTCTTTACAGGAAAATAAAAGTCACAGGTCTTCTTTCATATGTACTGGCCACAAATGAGCTCCTTTTTCAGAGTAACAATAGAGCAGCTCAGGGACAGAGCTTTTCTGGTCAGGTATCACAGGGTAAAGCCAGTGATATGCCTGTCTATTTTGACATGCTAAGCTCCACCTCTGTACTTTGTCTTTGTTCAGCTTTAAGCTCATGTTAGTTTTCTTGTTCATTGTAGAGCAAAGTTGTATTTAAGGGTAGCATTGATCCGAGCCCTCATGCTGTTAAACACATGGAACCTCAGGTTTGTTGGCTGCATATCCAGCAGATCAAAGAACTGTTTTTTGTGACCTGTGACTCAACAGTGATGAGATTTAAGACTGACATTTTAGATGGCTCTTACTAAGATGAATGAAGATTCACAGGCTCACAGAATAATGAGGTTGGAAGAGACCTCTAAGATCATCGAGTCCAACCTGTGCCCTAACACCTCAACCAGACTGTAGCACCAAGTGCCATGTCCAGTATTTTTTTAAACACACCCAGAGGTGGTGATTCTACCACCTCCCTGGGAAGAGCATTCCAGTGCTTTATTATTCTTTTGGTGAAAAATATTTTCCTAATATCCAACCTGTGCCTTCCCTGATGTAGCTTGAGACTGTGTCCTCTGGTTCTGTCAGAGACCAACCCCATCTGTCTGCAGCCTCCCTTCAGGAAGGTGTAGAGAGCAATAAGGGCACCCCTGAGCCTCCTTTGCTCCAGGCTAAACAACCCCAGCTCCTTCAAACCTTCCTCACAGGGTTTGTGTTCCCAGCCCCTCACCAGCCTCGTTGCCTCCTCTGGATGTGCTCGAGCATCTCAACATCCTTCCCAAACTGAGGGCCCAGAGCTGGGCACAGCACTCCAGGTGTGCCCTCAGCAGTGCCAGTACAGGGCAGAATGAGCTCCCTGTTCCTGCTGGCCACACCATTCCTGATGCAGGCCAGGAGCCATTGGCCTTCTTGGCCACCAGGACACTCTGCTGGCTCATGTTCAACCGGCTGTCACCAGCACCCCCAGGTCCCTTTGTGCCTGGGCACTGTCCAGCCACACTGTCCCCAGCTTGGGGAGCTTGGAACGTTGTAGGGGATTTTTGTGGCCAAAATGTAGAACTCAGCACTTGGACTTATTGAACTTCATGCTGCTGCACTCTGCCCATCCATCCAACCAATCTAAGTCTCTCTGCAGAGCCTTCCTTCCTTCCAGTAGATCAACACAAGCTCCCTGCTTGGTGTCATCTGCAAATTTACTAATGAAGGACTCAGTGCCCTCATCCATGTCATCTGTAAAAACATTGAACAGAGCTGGTCCCAGCCCAGAGCCCTGAGGGACACCCCTGGTGCCTGGCCCCAGCTGGATGCAGCACCATTCACCATCACTCTCTGGGCCCAGCTCAGAGTGCTCCTGTTCTAGCCCAGGAGTGTGCTGTGGGAGACAGTGTCAAAGGCCTTGCTGGAGTCTGAACAGACACATCCACAGCCTTTCCTGCATGCACCAGGCTGTCTGTCTCAGAAGCAGTTGATTTACTATTCAAGGATGGTGTCCTCCTCCAGCTGGCAGCCTCTGCCTCTCTCCAGTGTGCTGTGCTGAGCTGAATTGATGGCCCAGGCTCCACAGGGATGGCTGTGGCTGGCAGCAGGAGCAGGATGGATAATCTCTGAGCACTGCCCCTCTCCTCCAGGCTTGCTGGCTGCTGGCAGCAAAGCAGAAGCAGCCCCAGTTGCATTCAGGGAGGTAGAGCTGTGCCTGCCGTGGCCCTTCCTTGGGGCACGGCTCCGGAGGAAGCTGAGTCAGTGGCGCTTCCTGTAGCACCTGTTCTTGCCAGCTCCTGGAGGAGATTATTAACTAGGGTTTGCCCTGCTTCACTGGCAACTCTGACTCACTGCTTGGAGCCTAATGGGGCTTTAGATGGTTTTCTGGATTAAGAATCACATTTTAATTGCCTTCTCTGTTAAAGGGGAATTTGTGTTTGCTCTGCCAAAATGTGTGATAAGCCTGCATCCCATTACAGTGGTTCAGTTTCATTTTCTAGCGCGTTTCCCTTATTTAAAGCAAATAGAGCTCTTTAGTTGCTGAGAAACTGTGAGTCATGCATTTTGATACTATAAAATGTAACACCTGCAAAACTCTGTTTTCTCACAGCATGGTTGGAAATGTTATCAGGTCTAGGATCAAAGCTGTGCTTCAGCAGAGGCCTGGTCACATGAGGCTTTATTGGGATTTGCAGAGATGTTTTGTCACCAGACTGCTACGTAGGTGTTTGAGTATTCCACACATACACACCCGCTTTTGTGGCACCCTTGATTATACCATAGCATGCAAATATAAAGATGCACAGATGAGATACAGAGCTTCTTTAAAAAAAAAAAAATCACCATTTTTTGGAAGTTTAGCTGTAGTAGTAATGAATATTGTCATGTTTAAACTGGGGCTAGACTTTGGTCTTGAATTCGAGACTGTAATCCATGTTTCTAATCGTTTATGGGCATATTTTGTAGCTATTAAAATTGTTACATTATGTATGTGTATATCTGTCTCAAAGGAAAGGTGCAAAGGTTTTTCTAAATTGTTGATACTGTTTTTGGCTTTGTTTGGAGGTTTGCAGATCTCACTCTTGCAAACTTTTGCACATTTCACTTTCAAAATAAAGAATTTGCCTTTCTCTAATAGAGAGGTAAAACAAGTAAGGAGACATGTTAGCTGTGCTGAAATGTTATAAATTTTAATACCTTCAGAACTACTTCATTGGAAGTCCTCAGGAAATTTCCTTTTAATGGAAGTGCTTGGATCATTATTCTTGGACTGTAAATATGAGCGTTTTCAGCCAGAAGCAAGGCTTGCAGTTCTTTTCCCTTATTCAATAGACCTTTGGCTGACTCCACATCCCAAAGATGCATTTCTTACTGCAGCATATTTTAAGCTTGGCAGAAAACAGGATTGCAGTAGACTCCCTCTGCACCAAACTTGTGCTTTGTCAACAGGAGATCCTGCCCTCGTTCCAGCAGGGCAGGGAGAAGCTCGTGTGCCATAGTGAGAGGTACATTTCTGACTCCTTGCCTTGTGCTAAACACTCATCTGTCACAGCCTTTTTGTTCTCAGTTAAGCTCCTCTTCTTATCAATCTCTGAAACCTGAAACTGCAACATCTCATGCTAGTAGAAAGCCTTGATTTTTTTTTTATCATTACTTCTAAGCAACCTAAAAAGAGGACACTGCTCATTGTGCTTGTCCAGTGAATGCTTTTCTATTGGTTGTGCTTGTCTCAGGCAGGCCATCATTCTTAGCTCTCTCTGTTCTCCTGCAGCACTCCTGCAGTCGTGATTGCAGGCCTCTTGCTAGGAGTTATGGGATCTGCAGGCTGCAAGCAAGTGGGGCCTTGAGGTTCCTCTGGGAAATCATGACTCTGCTTTGTCTGGCAGAGCTTGTAGCTGTGCAGGTGTCTCTCTGGGTTATCCACTGCCTGAGGTTTTGAGAATTTCTTCAGTTAAACCCATAAATAAAGAGTGTTGTCATGCCCACACTTGAAAGGTAAACAGCAAAGATCTGCTTTAGGAATTCTGGTGGGATGCAAGGACACAGACGTGTCTGTGCTGTCCAGACATAAATTTGTCTCTTTTAAAAAGTATAAATAGAAGATAAAAGGATTTTTGGTAAATTCAACAATAGCTGTTGCACGTTGATTTTTAATTTTTAGATAGTTTTTGTCCTCCGTTTGGTTGTTGCTGAATAGGGGATGAGTTCGGATGAGTAGGAAAATTTCTTGGGAATTTTCCCAAGTTGTGGGATCTCAAAACTGATTAGTTTTGGTAGTTGGTTTAATAATTGTAAAATGTAATTGATATCTTAAATTGAGTAATGTAACTTAATCACAGTCTAAAACATCTTAAACTATTATATTAAATTTTCTGGTTTGGAACAAATATGCTACTTTTTACTGACAGGCTGGTAGGTTGGGGCTTTGATAGTATAGTTCATGTCTGGGTTGTATGGCTTACTGTTGTTCTTTTTAAGAATAAGTGAAAGTTTAAACAGAATGTGCAGGAACAAACTCTTGTCTGGTGTGTCTTGATGTGTCCCCTCATTTAAGACTGACTATGTTTGCAAAGGGCAGGTTGCAGGAGAAGTGTAAATTCAGCCTGTGGCCAGAGAGCGTTTTTGCCAAAATAGGTTACATTGGGAAAAAAAAAAGATCCCTAACGTCTAATTTCATTCTTTGATGAGAGCATTTAATTAAACAGTAAGAATCAAAATAAAATGCTCATTTATATTTGACCTACCCATTCTGAAAGAGATTTGTGTGAATGCATCTTCACAGGCAGGCTCAGCTGAGCAGGTGCTGTCTCTGTAAATCACAGAGCCGCAAACAGGTAATTCCTGCTGCCCACTTAATGTTCCAAGCAATTGTAAATACAAACATGAGTACAACAAAGAAAATGGAGCTGGATTATCCTAATCTTGGAAACATCTCCACGGAGTGTGAATGCCTTGAAAATTTAGCTGTGCAATGTCTCTGAAACTTAGAAATGCTGAGGTTGTGCCTTATTTCTGCTTTCAGCACCTCATCCCGTGTAGCTAAAGGAATCGACTACACCAAAATGAGCCTGCATGGGGCCAGTGGCGGACACGAGCGATCGAGGGACAGGCGCAGATCCAGTGACAGATCTCGGGACTCGTCCCACGAGAGAGCAGAGTCCCAGCTCACTCCGTGCATCAGGAATGTCACTTCACCAACAAGACAGTATCATTCTGGTGTGTGCAGATCTCTGCCATTGCAGGACTAAAATTCTCCAAAACTGAGTACTATTTTGTTAAAGGAATACAATAAAAAGTGTTATTTGTTGATGGCACAACATACAGATTTCTTACACGTGCCCTGAGCTGGGAATACCCTTCTTTGATAGGCTATAACGTTTTTTCCAGTCTGCTGTGTGTATTCCTACATGATGCTCTTATTTAGTTCAAATCACAAGAACAATCTCATTTTTATAGATAATTGACTGAAAACATCCCCTTTACTCTGTAGGGGCTAGGTATTTGGAAATAGAGGAAATAGGGATTTTTCTAAGTGACAAAATATGGTTTGTTTCTTTGAGCTGTGGCACCAACTGTGATGCAATGGCTTCTGTGTCATGTTGAGTTCCTTTTTCAGTACTAGAGTAGTAAGTTTTCTTTGTAAAGACTTTTGGGGAGGGTGAGGTGGATTTGATGTCTAGGTGATGCAGACTTTGGAATCTCATAAAGGGGCAGTTATTTTTGAAGATTTCTTTAACCAGAGTAGATTTAACCAAAATAATTTGTACTTAACTTCTCAAATGGGTGTGTTTTGTGCCCAGAAGGACACAAGCTACATAGGACTCCTATCAATCTGTAATTTCATTTCTCGTTTTTTCTCCTTCCACCTCATCTCCACCGAAGATCGCGAGAAGGATCACAGTTCATCTCGGCCCAGCAGCCCCCGGCCCCAGAAGACATCCCCCAATGGTTCTGTTGTCAGCATGGGCACCAGCAGCAGGAACAGCAGCCAGTCCAGCTCAGATGGCAGCTGCAAGGCTGGTGGGGAAATGGTGTTTGTGTATGAAAATGGCAAAGAGGGAGCTCGGAATGTCAGAACTTCCGAGCGAGTGACGCTCATCGTCGACAACACCAGATTTGTTGTAGATCCTTCCATCTTCACTGCACAACCTAACACAATGTTGGGCAGGTTTGTATCTCTTTTGGTTTTGGTTTTTTCCTTAGTCCCCAACTGTTATAGAGAGCTGGATATTTAAACTGTTTGAATAGCTGTTGGACTCATATGGCTGCAGCTGATCTTGCTAATGTTAAATATTACCAGTTTACAAATGTCTTTAAGTAAAAATTGAATGCAAGTTCTCTGGTTTTGGCAGGAAAGCCAAGAGATGTCTATTACCTAGAGATGACAGCTGATAAATAAATTACCATTTCATGATGTTCCCATTTCTTTCTGTCTTCCTGGGCATTGCTTCTCTGTTCAGTCTGCCTCACTCTTCCTCATTTTTCAAGCTAGGTGCTTCATAAAACAAAGTGGCATAGCGAATGTAGACAGCCTCTTTCAAAACAGCAAGGAGGAAAATCTTGAAGGAATTTATTTTGCTTAGTGGGCCTACCCTGACAATGTTCAAGCTCAGCCCATTTATCTTCTGAAATGTCAAATAATCAGTGTAACAGCCCTGAGCCACTCAGCAGAGAGGCTGAATACTCAAAATGATCAACACTTGAATGCAAGTCTGCAATATATTTGTAATGTTTTCTGTAGAAACTATAATGAGCAAGATATTTAACATGTTTGCTTGGTGGGAAAAGATTCCATAATTGACTGGCTCAAATTCTGGTTGGTTTTGCATTGTCCAAATGCAGAGGGCACCACTTAAAATCTTACTTCAAGAAAGAAAAGAAAGGTTTGTCTGTGTCACTTTGGATTTAGCTTTTTCATTAAAATACAGCTATTTCACAGCACACAAGGATATAATCATATTTAAAATACACGTATATAAATCTCCTTGCCACATTACAGGTAATAAATGTGATTACACAATTTCTGCTCTGTTTAAATCACTGCAATGTGGGATAAATAGTACCTTGGATCCCTGTTTTGTGAAAAGTTGGGTGAGTCACAGAGAAAGCAAGAAATGCTTCTCTGTCTAAACTGTCAAAAGAAATAAATGGAAGTAAGAATCAATAGAATTAAATAATTGATTTAAAGCACTTGTATATTATACAATACACGCATACATATAAATATCCAGACAGACTGGAAGTGTATCAGCTGAAAAGAAGCAATGAAATAGTTTCCTTTTCCATGCCCAGCCTCAGAGTAAGTGGTGCCACATAATGCACTGGATTTTTTGTGCGTGTGTGATGCTGAGTTATTCTCCCTTTGGGATTGGTTCAAGGAACAAGCTTATTTTATCTTTTGCCAATTGAAAAGTAGGTTAATAAAGGTACAGAAATAGTGCTCCAACCACGCAGGTTATTTATAAACCCACTTTCCCTCAATGCCAGTCTGCAGGACAGTAAGCAGGAGCAGCTTGGGAGGTAAAAGTAGCTATAATAAGAATGTACTATTTGCCTTGAGCCTGTATCCTGTTAGGCTGTGATTTTCTAAATATTATTTCTTGTAGAGTGGTCAGAAAAGGCACGTCAGATCATGAGGTGAAAAACATAATCCCAACTGAACAGAATGCACTGCTTTTCCCCTGCAGTATCTGTACAATTTCTTGCATTTTATTTCTCTTATTTACAAACAAGAAAACCATAGTGAGGAATTCTAACCCAAATTACTTTCACCCTTGAGCAGGATGTTTGGATCAGGCAGAGAACACAACTTTACACGGCCCAATGAAAAAGGAGAGTATGAAGTTGCTGAAGGAATTGGTTCTACTGTGTTTCGTGCTATTCTGGTGAGTTTTTAGGGGCAAATACTGTTAGGACAAGCACTGTTAAGAAGTAAAACCTCTTGGTTTAACCCAACTTGCATATCTAGATTTTGTGGATGGCATAGATACTGCTCTTTATATTGTTTAGTAGAGGGGGGAAGATGCTTACTATGAACCCCCTTTTCTTAGACATGAACATGTGACAATCAAGGAGAGAGAAAGTACTCATGGAAGAAACCAAAAATTACTGCTACCAGCAATCAGTTTACCTTTTCCTGTGCATTCCTGTGCATCACCAAATTCAAGTATATTCTGCCCTTCTGGAGCTGAAATTAGGTGAAACAGAATACTGGAAGTGAACTTCACACAGCTAACAGGAGTCACACAAACTTCAGTCTGAGATGGAAATGGCCCCTTATTTAATATCCACACAAGGAAGTAGAGCTGCTGGACTGCTTTGTCAGCAGCCTTGGAATGGGAAGAGCTCAGTGAAGTACAGATAAAAGACAGCAACATTATCAGTATTAATAGTTGTCACTTAAATAACATTTTTAACTAGAACTCACTGCTCTGAATGCAGCTCTGAAAACTGATAAATTTGAGGACAGGAAGATTCACAAAGTTTAACATTTGTTGCTATCTTACATTTTGGGGGCTTTCTGTGTGGAGAAGGCATCATGAATGAAATGATGCAACGTTTCTGTTGGTGGATGTTGTGCATTGTGCTTTTTCTTGGTGCCTCCTGCAGGATTACTACAAGACTGGGGTGATACGCTGTCCTGATGGGATATCTATTCCTGAACTGAGGGAAGCATGTGACTATCTCTGTATCTCCTTTGAGTATAGTACTATAAAATGCAGAGATCTGAGTAAGTACAGGGTTTATTCAAATAATTTGAATTATACAAATTGACTTAAGTGTGTGTGTGTTAATTCTAAATCGTGTCCTTTATTGAGATAAGGAAGATGGCTGGCACTACATGAATAAAATCCATCCCTTTTTATCTCTTATGTAATAAAGCCTTAAAAGCAATGGATTTATGTTCTTTGAAAAATGATGTCTGATATTTCAGCATCTGATTCTGTGCCGTGGTCACCCTGTGGAATACTTAGCTCTATGATTGCATTTGCAGTACAGATACAGTAACGTTCAGTGGTACCTTTTTTTGCAGGGGACAGGGAGGGTAATTTTTCCTTGCTTAGGAGAATGGGGCTGTCTCCCTGGTGGCAGTAGCACAGCTTTGCTGGTGGAGTGGGCTGCTCCAGGATTCCCAGCTCGTGCTGTTCTCTCCAGCTGCCTCAGCCCTGAGCACAGCCCAAGCCTTGGCCTGTGCCTCTGGTTGCTGTGCTCTCCCTGTGTGTGCAGTGCAGGGCCAGCCTGTGGCATTCCTGCTGGGAATGGACCCCAGGGCCTTCCCTGGCAGGGCCCCCGCTGCCCCATGCCCGAGCTCTCTGTCCTTGCAGGGATTTAGCAGCTCCTGCCCTGGGGGCTTTGAGAAGCTTTGGGTTTAAGCTGCTGCTTATGAAACATGGGTTGTGTGCTCTGCTCTCCCAGCAACTGGCTTAAATGATGTTTCTTTTAGGAAAACCAGAGCAGCCTTGCACAATTACCAAATATTTAGCAGTAGTGAAACACACAGGAGGTCTCAAAGTGCCCAACACTATGTTAATATCTGCAGGACAGGCTGGTAAATATTCAAACGAGGTCTGAACCTACATAAGCTCAAAGACTAAGTGTCCTTACACCTGTCTGCAGTAATACTACAAGATAAACAGATCTACTCTTCCTTATTGCTGCCTTCATCTCTTTACCAAGCTCTCAAATGTGCCTATGCTTAAAATTTTCTTCTAGGTGCTCTCATGCATGAACTATCAAATGATGGTGCTCGCAAGCAATTTGAGTTTTACCTGGAAGAAATGATTCTGCCATTAATGGTAGCCAGTGCCCAGAGTGGGGAGAGGGAGTGCCACATTGTTGTGCTGACAGATGATGATGTTGTTGACTGGGATGAAGAGTATCCCCCCCAAATGGGAGAGGAGTATTCACAAAGTAAGTTCATCCTCATTGTTCCCACCAAGCCATGCCATGGTAGGGGTAGCAGTGAGTGTGCTGATTTAAAGTTGTTGTACAGAAATAAACCTCTTAGTTGGACTAGTTCTGCTTAGTATTTTGTTTCACAGAAGCATATTATGCTTGTTCAAGTGTCATTAAAAAGAGAAGCTAATTTTTATTATTAAGGTATTGTTAGCCAGGAAGAAAGGAATAAAGTGCTCCTTTAGAAAGAGCTTGAGGAGGGAAATGGGTAGGAGTCATGTTTACTGTGGGAGAGCAACTAGAGGTTCTTTTGTGGAAAAAACCCAAGTGTTACTATTTTTGGAGTACTACAGTTGTGTGGATGATGAGTTTAAGCACCTGTAAATGGGCTGTATTTCCCTGCAAGATGTGCACCCAACCCATTCCCCAGCATCTTCAGCTGTTTTCCTCTGGAGTTCTTGAATTTCTTCCCCTCTTCTGAAATAAAAATACTGGAGTAAAGCAAAAACAGTGGGAAAGATAAACTTTTGTGTTTTAAGGGTAGAAGGTTAATATTTGAACACAGGGATTTTTTTCTCATTAAAATGTATTTTTAGTTATTTACAGCACAAAGTTGTATAGATTCTTCAAATACATTGAAAACAGAGACGTGGCCAAATCAGTTCTGAAGGAAAGGGGGCTCAAGAAGATCCGACTGGGCATCGAAGGTAAGGGGAGCATTGCTTGTGCCTCTTTGGCCTTCAGGGTCTGCTGCTCTTTTCTGCTGTGTGCCTTTCTCTGTGGCTGGAAATTAAGGGGTCAGTGTTGTCTTTCCTGCTGAGGCTGGGTGACAGAATGGCCAGAGCTGGAAAACCTGACTGTGGGCTCCAGACCGGTGTCCGAGCTGTGGGCTCTGTGCACACAACTCAGGTGCTTTCTACTGCCTTCATGACTGGCATCCCATGCCCTTTGCCCTTTAGTTTCCACACAAAAGCTTCTCTGTGCTTTGTCTGAGGTAACAAGGCATTTGTACAGCTCTGGAGATTGTGTTCTTGGGCTGTATCCTTTCCAGAGTGTGAAATGAAAAATGTCATGTTAAGTGGCAGGCAGACATTTTCTTTTAGGGAGTACAAAACTATCCAGTGGATCAGTGAAGTGCAAAGAAATACTGATCTGAAATAAACATCATGTGTGTTAGGAGGCTGCTCTGTAATATCTGACTGAGTAATCTGATTTTTATCATGAATGTAAGAACTGGGTTTCTTTGCATTACATTTTTCTTCTGATTGCTGACCCAGATATTTTAGAATCCAGCCTTTATAATTAGCAGGATTTCTATCATTCACTCACCAAGTTGTCATAGTTACATTTGTAATTTGCCAAGAAAAAAGCAAATGCTTTTAACTGGTGAGTCCTAAAATAACTAATTTCAGCTGAACAAGGTGGGAGCCTTTCAGCTAAACAAGAGCTGGCCCTGCCTGTAATGCTGGCTAATAGCAGATTATTTCTGCTGGCATTTCTTGGTTTGACAAGGAACAGCTGTGGCACCAAACTGTGATGCTGGTGCCCTGCAGTAATGTGCAAAATGGACATTATTGTTGGGGCACAGGGAGGGGTGACTCGAACACAGCACAACCATCTGCACTGGCAGTGCCAGTGGCTGCTGTGCTGTGTCCCACAGGCTGATGGGCTGTGCTCTGTAGGGCTGTGCTCTATAGGGGCTGTGCTCTATAGGGGCTGTGCTCTATAGGGGCTGTGCTCTGTGGGGCTGTGCTCTGTAGGGCAGTGCTGATGTTGCTGTGCTCTGTAGGGCTCTGCTCTGTAGGGGCTGTGCTGATGGGCTGTGCTCTGTAGGGGCTGTGCTCTGCACAGTCAGGGCTGATGGGCTGTGCTCTGTAGGGCTGTGCTCTGTAGGGCAGTGCTGATGCGCTGTGCTGATGTTGCTGTGCTCTGCACAGTCAGGGCTGGTGTTGCTGTGCTCTGTAAGGCAGTGCTGATGTTGCTGTGCTCTGCACAGTCAGGGCTGATGTTGCTGTGCTCTGTAAGGCAGTGCTGATGTTGCTGTGCTCTGCACAGTCAGGGCTGGTGTTGCTGTGCTCTGTAGGGGCTGTGCTGATGTTGCTGTGCTCTGTAAGGCAGTGCTGATGCTGTGCTCTGCACAGTCAGGGCTGATGTCGCTGTGCCCCTGCCTTTGCCAGGTTACCCCACGTACAAGGAGAAGGTGAAGAAGCGGCCGGGCGGGCGGCCGGAGGTGATCTACAACTACGTGCAGAGGCCGTTCATCCGCATGTCCTGGGAGAAGGAGGAGGGCAAGAGCCGGCACGTTGACTTCCAGTGCGTGAAGAGCAAATCCATCACCAACCTGGCGGCGGCAGCAGCGGACATCCCGCAGGACCAGCTGGTGGTGATGCACCCCACGCCGCAGGTGGACGAGCTGGACATCCTGCCCATGCACCCGGCCCCCAGCAGCAGCGAGCCCGAGGCCGAGGGCCAGAACCCCCCGCTCTGAGCGCGCTGCCCCACCGCACGCATGCTCCTGCAGTGACTGCACCCAGCCCATCCCGCACTGCAACGCCAGTTTTCCATTGTGTCCCGGTGTTTAGGAGACTGCAGCAGGGACCTGGCACGGCCCCAGGGCATGCCTGGTGGCTCGGGGAGGAGCGCAGCCGGCGCTGGGCTCGGTGCCGTTCGTGTCTGTGTTTACCGTAGGTTTGTGACGTTGGTGACCGTGAGCTGGCCTGGCCCCGCTCCGCGGCCCCGCGGCCCCGCCGTGGCACGGCCTTAGGAAGCAGAGTGGGAATTGATAGTAGCACTTTACAAATGGTTGAGAAGTGGAATTTGAAGCCATTTTTTATAAATGTATTGCACAATACTAACAAAGTGCTTCTATCAAAGGTGTTAACTGTACATAGTTTTGCTCTGGATAGATTGACCCTTTTGAAGTTATTGTATATGGTTGAGCACAAAACTACTTACTCTTGGGTTTTTGGATTGAGGACGTGATTCAATGACCCACGTAACATCTTGTTCGAGTTCTTTAGTGAATTTTTTCACTTGTTTGCAGCGTGAGCCATGTTCAAAAATTGTGAACAACGGACAGGGGCTTTATCTTAAATTTTGCCTTACCTTAAGCTGTTCACAAATATTTATTTAATACATTTTTCATAAGTGTCATGAAATAGGAAAATGCAAATGGTTCATTCTTCATTTATTAATGATTGTAAACAAGTTTTTCATGCAAATAAAGTTTCCATTATTTTAATGGGCTTGAATTATCTGTGAATTATGAATTTTGCAAGTAGTTGCTTTTCTTTCCTCGGGGGAAGGATGTTTAAGTGAAAAACAAGTGTTTCTTAAAGATAATCAGCCCATTTTAACGCACCTGCCTCTTGTGCTTTTCTCAGGATCAACATGGATCTAGGAGTAAGTAACAAGAGCTTCTCTTGGAATATTGTCATGACAAAGGCATGTAAGTGTAGGTAAGGCACTGGCTTTCCTCCCTTTTCTCCCAAGGCTAAAGAAATGATAAATACCAAGTGCTTCTAGCATGCACCTTCAGCAGGGTTTTATCAAATTTATTTATCAAAGTAAATACTCCATCTTAGAACAAGGGAAACATTTATTTTAAAAATATTTAACTGTCTAATACATTACACTTTAACAATATTTATAGTAAAGGATTCTTACAAGAAAGAATAAACGGCTTTATGGTACAATTAGTATAAGAAATATCCACATGGGGACTGTTTTGCAGTGTAAAAACACACCATACATCTGAAATGGTCATTTGCATATAAAAGCTACCACTGATGCCAGTGAGTTGCACAGTGATTTAAAAAAAATTTCAAACAACAGAATCCAAAATATACAAGTATTGCAAGCTATACACAGCTAACCAAATCAACACAGAACACTGTAGCAGGTTATTCCACTTTGTCTGAAGTTACACATGGTAGGATGAGTTGCATTCTGACGCAGCTTTTATGAAGTTCCCACATAAAAGCCTCTCAGTCCCACGGGTGTCACAGAGTGCAGAGCCCCACCAGTGAATGCACTTGGCTGCTGGCTGCTCACAGGGGCCAGGGCAGGTCGCTGAAGTCCACGGGGCCGCCGAGCCCCGCGTCGGCCTCCAGCAGGCTCATGATGACCGCCATGGCCGCCTCGTCGTTGCTGGGGCTGCTGGAGCCCTGCTCCGTGTCGATCATGTCCATGCCGATGTGGGAGTTCTCCCCTGCAGGGACACAGCACAGCCAGCGCCTCAGGGGCTGCCCCCTCCCTGCACCGCTGCTCTGGGGCACAGCCAGGGCCTTGGGGACAGCCCTGGGAGCTGGGTCACTCCCCAGCAAGGGCCACCATGGCTCACAGGGACAGCCTGAGTGCCCGAGTGCACACACAGCGCTGCAGCTGAGCTGAGCTGCTTCACGCTGACTCAGGAAAAGAGGCTTCCAAGCACTGCCTAAGGACGTTTCAGTATGAAGGAACTCTACAAAACAGGTACAAAACACCTGCTGCCAGGTGCCTCCTGGGGCACACAGTGCTCGGCCGTGGGCTTTGTGCTTCAGCAGGTAAAAGCAAGTTACTGCTAAAAGAACCAGGGTCCATGTGTGTTCAGCTGGCACTGAGGGTGTTCATGAGTGACTTCACTTACCCAGGATAGAGGAGTTGTCGGAATATGGGTACCCAGAATTATCCTGGATTTGCCCGGACAGCAGCCCAGCTGAAGAAATGTCTGGAGTGCCACCATTCAAGATCTTGAAAGACAAAACAGAAGCTCTAAAGCAGCATGAAATGGTGCATTAAGTCTTAATCTGTCCTATACTGGAATTTTTAATATAGGGTAGATGGATTTCCCAAAATAACCCTGTGGTTTATAACAAGCAATCTTCTAAACAAGGAGAAATATCAAGGGGGTGCTGAAAACGCCCCAGCCCTCCACCTGCATTTTCCTTTATGTCATGCCAGCAGCCCCTATTGTGTGGGCATGTTGAGCACTGTAGGGCAGAAGAAGAAAGAATAACTATTACCAGGATTGTAACTCTGTTCCAACCTGGAGCTTAATTTCAGTAACAAAGAGAGCTGGCAATAGACAGAAATATTTACTGTCTGTTCCAGTACAAGCAAGTCATCATTTCTGAGAAAAAAAAGGTTAAGTAAGTCTGAAGCAGTGCATAAGGATCTGGATATGCTTTGGATAAGACTTCTACAAGCGTTTAGAGATTGCTTGAGTAGCACTCAGGTGCCATTACCAGCATTGAGCCACCTGCACTCTTGTCCTGGCTGCTTCCAGCAATCTCAGAGCAAGGCAGGTGCATGGTGTTGACTTAAAAGTACCCTCTGAGTGCCCAGGCAAGCACTGAGCTGTGCTGGTTTGTGCTCAGTGGTGGCATTCCTCGGGCACAGCCAGTGCTGCAGTGCCAGCAGTGCCAGCCTTCACCAGCACGGGGTGTCAGAGAGTTTCTGGAGGCTGGAGAGAGGAGCAGAGCTGTTCCTTGCAGCTCTGCTGCAAACATCCAACCTCCAGGGCAGGTGTCAAACACTGCTGGAGTTTGGGATGTGCTGCTGGCTGCCCCTCAGAACAGGGGCTGTGACCCCTCAGTGCTGTGGCTGGGCCCCTTTTCCAGCCCAGCAGGCAGGAGCTGTTCCCTGAGCACACTCCCACATTCCCTGCCCTGACTGGCCCAGCCTGGGGGAAGCTCCTTCTCACCTTCTTCCCTCCTGGCGAGGACGTGTCGGGCGGGGGGGGTGCTGGTGATGTTCAGGGGACTTGAGCCACAGCTGGAAGGTGATGATCCTCTTATCCTAAAACGTGCATAAAACGGGGCATGCATTTACAAGCGACTCAGAGACCTGCAGCTTTAAGTACTGACTTCAGTATCAGGTGCCATGAGGTGCTAAAAGCATGAGCTTCATTTTTGTCATCTCCCTTTTTTGTGTTCCGCACGCCAGCAGGAGCGGCAATGCTGTTATCTGCAGCCAGACCAACAGTCCTGTGTAAATCCAGCCTGCTTGATCTGCAAGCTTTACCTCCTCCCTGTTTTTTTCCTGGGCAGCTTTCACAGAGTCCGAAGGAAAAGATCCTGGCTGCTAAGGAAAGCCTCATTTTTGAGTGTTTTACTTCAATTTCCACCAGCTAAGAGTTCCAGCTGCCTCAGTCACAGTAACCCAGACTCCTCCAGTGAGCTCCTGCTCCAGAACTCCATTGGACACTGGATTGTTTGTAACTGCTCAAAGCCACATTGTTCACTTCCATTTTCCATAGCCTGATCAAACATCGTTAATAATGAATAATGTATTGACTGTAGCACCAACGAATCTCCAGACTAAAGGGAGGAGGGGTAGTTACAGAGAAAAGCAATGGAAATGGGATTCTTCTCCTTGGCAGAGTTCCCCTGGGAAAGCTGAACAGAAGGCAGCTTTGGAAAATAGTAACAGCTGCTGAAAAAGGACTGGAACTAACCCAGGGTCCGAACTGAAATGCAAACATGGGTGGTAACCGCACTACTACACTCACTTGGGCTAATCAAATGTTTCACAGCTACTAAAAGGGATGGTTTTAAAGCTTCAAAGTCATGATTCAGCCATGTTTTTCTTTTTTCCTATTCCTACAGAGAGGAATGCAGCCTCAGGCATAGGTCTGCAGCTGCCTCAAGTGAGGACAGAGGGAGTCTCCTGCCTGCAGCAGGAACAAAACTGTGGGAAACAGACTGAACTGTTCCTGGACTGCAGCTCAGCCTGGTTAAATTGCTGCCACTGAACACCTGCTGGGTGAGACCCCTTTTAGAGGAAAGGAAACAGTTCCCAAGAGGAAATCTGTGAGGAACAGGGATTTTTAGCCAACAGAAATGAAGTGGTACCCCCTGAAAGCAGCTGCTCACACAGGTGAGAACACGAGAAGCAGCTGTGGACCCCCGGAGCCCCTCAGTGACCCTGGGCTTGACCCAGCCCCACATCCTGACTGCCATGGGAAGGCCCCAGCACTGTGACCTTGCCCCAGGAGCTGCAGGGGAACTGCAGAGCTCATCATGCACATCTAACAACCCCAAAAGCATCTGAGCAAATGGACTGCATGAAAACAAACATTGCTGTTTTGGCACACAGTCAACAGCTTTGGCATTTGGAGGTTGTGCCACTCACAGCCTCAAGTCACTGGGAAAAGAGCAGTCTGGAATGGATTTGTTTCTAGGTAGCTGCTCTTTTTAACTCCTGTTTCTGGTAAACAGGCCATCATCATCACCACTGCAAAGACATGCCAGTAGTGAAATCAGAAATCAGTCTCTTGCAGCAGGAAGCTGAAGGCTGTAACTCTTCATGCTTTCCCTGTGGGCTGGCTGCCTCAGGGAGGCTGAACAGGAATCTGTAGTGTCTCAGTAAGGCTGGATCATTCCTGATTCAGCTTGAATAAATTGTTCTTGCAGAGGAAATTAAGGAAGTCTAACTCCTCTTTAAGAACAGGAATAAAAGAACTCAACTCCACACCATTTTCTCTCACCTGTGAATCTCCATGATTTCTTCAGCAATCATCCTCCCTATTTTCCCTGCCCCAGCTCTTGTTCCACCTGGAATTCCAGGCACAGTGGGATGGGTCCTTTTGGGGCCACCTGAAATGAGCAGAAATGTTAAGGTCAGAGAAAAGCTTGCAAACTTTCTCCACAGGGCAACTGTGTTTAGGCTGTGAGTGGCTGCAGGACCTTCTGAACAGGATTTATTGACAGTTCCACCAACTGCTGAGTGCCTTCAAATGGATGAAAAGCTCTGGCTTGCACTGAGCTGTGCTGGGTCTCAGATGTCCCTCTGTGCCAGCAGGGATAGGACAGGCCCCAACTCTTTTAGAATCTGGCTGTTCTCTTTCAGAACTGAGCATCTGGTGCTACTTCTTGTCCAGAGCTGGTACAGCATGGCCTTGTCAGACCCTGTGCCCAACCAGGCCCCTCTCCAAACATGTTTGTTCTCTGCTTTGTGTGAAGAACTTGCCAGTGCATACTCTACTCAATATGAGATAAACCCAAGGGAGCTGATGACTGCAGGTGACTGCAGGAATGTAAAAGTGAAGGGGAAAGTGAGGTGGGAGCAGTTAGGAGCTGTTTCTGTAATGTGATTTCACATCTGCACAGCACTTGGGAGGTTGGAAAGAACACCTCCACTTGGGAGGAGCACCTGCAAAGAGCCTGATATACTCCAAGCAGAGAAAAGCCCCCAGTGAGAGGGCAGGAAAGGCCTCAGCATTGCTTACCCAGAATGGATAATGCTTCTGGAATTGCAGATTTACCAACAGCCACCCTCAGCAGCTGTGGCTCAGACCCAAAGCTAAAGCTCATTTTCCTTAGGATATGAACAAATGTCAGTGCAGGAGGGCAGCATGAGTGTGCAGGCAGGATGAGCTGCTGCCCAGGCAGGAGAGGCAGGGATGGCTGGGGCTGGAGTTACCTTCTCCAGCCTGGAGCACGCTGTCCATGCTGTGTGGGGACGCCGCCAGCTGCGGAAACGCCGCGTCCCCGCTCTCCAGGACCGTGGTGCTGTGGAGGGCAAGGGTGAGAAAAATCAGGCAGAGAAAACCCTACAGAGGTAGAAAAGCCTCCCAGTGACTACAACCCAGGTCATGCAGCCAGAGTTTCAGCATGGAATGCTTCAGGGTTTCAGCAGTGTCACCTCTGAGACTGACACTGGGGCTGGATAAACAACAGGGACCAACCACCCTCTTCCACCTCCAAGTGTGCAGTGCCAGACCCCAACAGCCTCTCTCAGCACAGAACTCCTCTGCAGGAATTATTCTGCTGAGAAGGCACCTCAAGAGAAAGGAAAAGAGGGGGGAAATACCTGCCAAAGCAAAGAAATGCATGCCCCTTAAGTTCCTACAAAGACCAAATCCCAGCTTTTCCCAAAGAAAGAACATATTTCTATTTTCTGCAAGCTTCAAGGACCAGAAATTAAATTACTGCAATTTTTAAACTAAACCTGGGGTTGTTTTAACTCCCTGGGGTGCTGTCTGGAGAAGACAGCTATTGCCATACAGAAGGTGTGCACATATTTAGGTCAAATCTCATATGAGAAAAGGGCAAAGCAATGGGCATTCCCAGGCACCTGCTGGGGGAAAAGCACTTACGAAACCACTGTGTTTGTGGAGACAATGTATTCTACTTCTTTGGTCCAAGGGTTCATGAAACTGAACCAGCGACTCCGCAACGTAATAAAAGAGCCATCTTTTATTTTAAACTTATAGCAGTTAGTTGTAATTTTTTCTCTTGTCTGCAGAACTGAAGACAGGCAGAAAGCAAGTCATTAGTGTCAAGCAGGCACCACAACATAAATAGGGCCCTTCTCAGGGAAAACCCAGTTAATTCCTCCCCACATCCCTCAAGGAAAATGCTATTCCTCCCTCAGCCCCCTCACCCACCCTGAAGCTCAAATATTCCCTACAAATCCATGCAAGTCTGAGGTAATCCCAGTGTTTGGCACACACAGCACAGTGCTCTTGACTAAAGCATTTGCAAACAGCAATACCCAATTCTTTTCAAGTATTTGGTTTCCTTAATACTCAACAACTGTTCCCGATATTTTGAGCAAAATTTCTTTCCTGAATTATTAAGAGCCATACCTTGTCTGTGACATTCTGCAAGATGTGCTATATCATCTTGATGGAAATATTCATAACACGAAGTACCTAGAAGTTCCTGGGGTAAGTATGCCAGGATGGCTGTTGCCCTGGGGAAGGGAGGGAGAGGAAGAAAATTTAAAAAAAAAAAATAAAAATCTTTTCAAGTTGAAGTATTAGTCAGAGATTCCTAAAGCTCACACTGAGGCTGGGAAAGGCTCAAGTAATGCAGAAAGGAATTTTCGGCTTAGAAGGAAAAAAAAAATCCTTAATACTATTTTTAATTCTCAGGTAATTAAAAAAGTACCTAACACCCAGAGCCCTCAGGTATTACATTTGACCTACCATCACCAGAGGGGATGTAAGTCTTTCTAAACAGCTTTGAAGATTTGCTGTAATTTTGGAATTTAAGCCTGAAAAAAGCTGCCTTGTAGCAGCCACAAGATAACACAAAGCTTTCTGCACAAAGTGCCCCTGCACAACAACATCAAAGGCTTGGAGAACTCCAGGGTGGGACAGAACAACACCACACCAAACTTGACTTGGATTTTGTACATTTCTTAGAGGAAAATTCTTAGAATTCTTTAGAAGAATTCTCTAGAAGAATTTTCGTAGAAAAAAAAATCTGTGTTTCTTAGAAGGAAATTACTGAGGGAGAAGTGAAGATTCCTTGAAGAAGCTGAAGTAAGTGTCACAATTCCAAACCATTCCAATTCAAATTAAACATGGAGAGCAATAAGGAACAAACCCAGGTAGATTAACATCTCGTCTGCAATCTCAAAAGAGCCCAAATTAAACAATATAAAATGCAGAAATTAGTACATATTAACAATTATGAGTAAGAACAGAGGGGAAAAAAGCTGAAGCACCAAATCCACAGTATTTCAATGTGGGGCATTTTTGTGTGTTCCCAAACACAAGAGATTTCAGCACTGCTTGAGGACACCTCAAGCCCTCCTTGACAGGGAGACCAACACCCTCAGCCTTGGAGAAGGAAACAAGAATTCAAACTGACTTCTGCAGGGTGAGCCTCCTGCCTGGCCACTCAAAACTCATCAAAGCAATCTCTGAGAGAAGCACAAAGCAGCAAAACCAAGCCTGTCTTTAAAATGGAAGAGCTGGGAGGCCAGTCAAGCTCATTCCAGTATATTTCCAAGAACTTTAACAACCAAGGCTTTCAGCAGCACTGCTGTGGTGGGACACCCCACACAGAGGGGGAACAACCAGCATGAGCAGCTACAGGGAATTTGTCAAGGAAAGGAGAATCTGCACCAAATTACAGCCACCAACAGACTGGGTGCATTCAGTATCTGACCATGTTCTATGATGCAAGGAAGGAAATTGTTTGTGTCCTTCTGCAATTTTATCCTGTATTTACTTTTCTCCTCAGCTCGCTTCTCCCACTTAACAAGGCAGCTCTGAATCCTGAAGCTGTATCTGATGACATCTGCATAGATAATAAACTTAATTTTACTCTCAAATCCAGCATGCAGACCCATCAGAAGTCCTGAATAAGTAAGAGGAGAGATGATTCTCTTTAAAACTCTGCTCAGTGTGGCTGCCATTCCAACAGAGGATTGTTCAGCAGCTCCCTGGCTGAGGCAGCCCAGCTAATTGGTACCTAATCCATTGCTGTGCTTCCCCAGGGACCATGAAATCCATGGAGACAGAAAAGGCCACATGGAGTTCAGGAAGTGTTTCTTCCTTGAGTTCCTTGGACAGATGATAAATGAACAGTGCAAGTCTATATGAACAAAACAACCTGACTTGGAAATAAATTGTTTTCAACTTTTACAGGTGCCTAAATATTCTCCAGGAAAAGCAAGGATCATTGGATGTCAGCTTCAGGCCTACAGATGAGGCTTTCCTCTAAATAAATTCCCTTTCAAAGAGTTCTTTGAAGTAGCATAGACATCCCAAGGATGTAAACAACAGCTGGAAAGCAATTCAGTAAAAGCATATGTGCTTAAATCCAATGGGTCAATATTTTCTGAGTCTCATTATTTTAAAAATGCCTTCAAACTACACATCAGGGGAATGAGCCTGATCTTTTGAAAATAAAACTTGTCTATAAACAAGACAGAATAGCATTTTCTGAGCAACAGGAAGCTCTGAATGCTCCCACAGCTCCCAGAGTGAGCACCAGCTCTGAGCACTCAGGAGTTGCTATTTTCATAAGCTTTCTATCAAATTAAAAAACCCAAACAGCCCAACCTAACCAAAACCCACAAACCCAACCACTCCAAAACAGATAAATAATATAAAAAAATAAATATTCTCTGCACTTGAATTCCTCCCATGACTATCCTCTGCTTCCTCTCAAAGGGCACTAAAGATCAGCTGAGTCTCCCCTGAACCCAATTCCAGCAGGCAGATTCTGTCAGAGTTTGGAGTTTGGGCTTTTCTGTGTCTCAAGCAGCTGAGGCAAAGCCACGGGGAGGGAAACTGGAGCAGGCTCATCTGGGCAGTCTCAATCCCTCTTGACAAGGAAGGCAACCAAGCATCCCTCTCCAACCAACCCAGCATAACCTCTCCATTAACATCCTTCAACCTCCTACTTTTCCCTCCACCATCCAGTAATTTTCAAGGAACATTCAGGTCATATGTACCTGCTACTGAAGAAAATCCAAGGCCTTTCTTTTGGAAAGGGAAGAGTTACCCTTTTAGATAATAAATTGATGTTTGAAAGCAGATGCCACACGGGCACAAGTTCTCAAACTGTTTCCAGGAGATAACCCTTATGAAAAGCTTTCCTTCTTACAAACACAAAGGGTCCCAGAGAGAAGCATTAATCCAGCAGAAAGTGTCCTAGTAAACAGTTATGTAAGTGTGCATGCTAGCAAAGCCTAACCCAGCTCTGCAGCCTCTCAACAGCCTGGTGTTTGCAAGAGGTTTCATGTAACAGAGGGAGCAATTAGGGTCCAGTTTCAAACCATTTTCTTCTGAAGATTACACACATACAGAATACATACCCCCTAATGAATTGGCAGAAAAGATCCTGGCGTTATTCTGCCACATTTTTGGAAGTTTGGGGGGTTTTTTAAAAAATTTCATCAGCCACGCTGAATTAATGCATAGTAACAGCTCTGAGCTCCACCTCAAAGCCAACCCAGTAAAGAAAGCTCAAAAGGGCAGCAATTCCTTTTCCCAACAGTATTCATGTGAAATACAAAGCTGTGTTTGGTGTCAGGTACATGCAGGCAATGTGTGTATTTGTGACTGTGATATGTGTGGAAACAGACCATGGGACAGTTATAAAGATGAATTCTAATAATAACAGAGAAAGTAAAGCATGGAAAAAGGCCTTTGAACCTATCCTTTGTTCACAATTAACCTTAGTTGATTTAGGAGCATTTGAATTAAAGCGTTAAGGATGTTGCTCTTTGCTTGTAGTTAAAGAGTTCTGCAATAATAACCTTTTGAAGTATAATTTTAGAATATTGCTGGTATCCTTGAAACTATAGCTTTGGAATATATATAAAGGAAGCATGCTTATCTCAGGCCTTAACAAAACAGAGAAAAGCAGCTTGACAAAGGAAGATGAACATCACCTCAAGGATTTATGGTTTTGACCAAGGGAAGCTGGACATCACTGTTATGAGATCTATAGTGCTTGCAATCAAAAGGTGGACCCACATCTGGGGAGCTGGACTCCACCAGATGGGATTTGTCTTTCTTCTTTCAGAAACCAGACCAGCACCATCTGGGGATACTCCTTTTGGGATACATCCTGAGAAAAACTAAATCACAATAGTGTATGGAATTGTGATGTAAAAATTGGGAATAGAAACTGCTGAGAAAGCTGATGAGTACCCCTATAAATACCTGTAAGCCTCAGCTATGGGTGTGCAGTTGGAGGGAAAACTTCCCCTGCTGTACCCAGCGCTGTATTGCTCATACTTGACCATCCTCATTAATAAATTGATTGCTGCTGGAATATTGGCCTAGTCAAGCTTCTCATTTATAACAATAGCAACAGCTCTGAGCTCCATCTCAAAGCCAACCCAGTAAAAAAAGCTCAAAAGGGCAGCAACTCCTTTTCCCAACGGTATCCACAGAGCGCTGCCAGGCAAGCTGAGGCTGAGGTGGCGCTGGGCAGGGAGCTGGGGTGGAAGCTGTTAGGGGGATCCTCACCTCTGATCTACAAAGACGAACTTGCCGTCGATGGCGTGCCGGGACACGTACTCGGTGGGCTTCACCCGGATCTCGCCGTTGGCCGGCTGCGGCACCACGTGGGGATGGAGCCTCCCGATGGCCACAAGGCAGCTCAGGTTACAGCCCTCGTTATCGGGCTCGTTATCTTCATCCAGGCCCATCTTTGTTGGAGGCCAGCTTTTTAAGTAGCCTGTGCTATGAATAGTGCAAAAGCTTTTGCGGTCTGCTGTGAAAAGAAAACAAAACAAACAAAAAAAATCCAAAAAACAAACAAACAAAAAAAAAACCAAACCAACAAAACCCAAGAAAGCAGTTAGGTCGTGGGTACAGCTTTGGAGAACTTCAACTCAATTCTGCTAATAATGCACCCCCTCTCTCATGCAGGAAATGTGGGATTCTCTTCTCTAAGGCGGGGCTGGGGGTGCTCAGCCTGGAGCAAAGGAGGCTCAGGGGTGCCTTTATCACTCCTGCCTGACAGGAGGGTGCAGCCAGGTGGGGATCGGCCTCTCCTCCCGGGCAGCCGTGACAGGATGAGAGGACACGGCCTCCAGCTGCATCAGGGGAGGTTCAGGTGGGACATCAGCAGGAATTGCTGCACAGAAAGGATTGTCCAGCATTGGAAGGGGCTGCCCAGGGAGGTGCTGGAGTCCCCATCCCTGGAGGTGCTCAAGGAGTGACAGAGCACTCGGTGCCACAGCCTGGCTGACAGGGGGATGTTTGCTCAAAGCCTGGGACTCAATGATCTTGGAAACCTTTCCCAACATTAACGACTCTGTGATTCCAAGGGATTTTTCAGCACTCCCGCTGAAATGCAGCTAATCTGAGATAATCCAATAAACAATTTATCTTGGCAAAACCACTGCTTATGAGAAACATCACATAGTTCAGACCAAGGTTGCTTTTGGTAATTTTGAGCAGAAATTGCATCACATTTTATTATTTCAGCAAAAGAGGCAAATAACCCAAAGGAACGTATGAAGAAATTAGTAGATATTGCCTCTGCTCTCTTGCTGCTTGTCTTTTCACTTTAACTAAACCAAATGTATCATTCACAGTTCTCAAAGAAGAAACCTTCACATTTGGGCTAAATATATATTCCAACATGCCTAGAATAATAGCCTGCAGAGGAGAAAATATTACCAACACTGCTAATGCTAAAAGGTGCAGAAACACCACGTTTCCAGTACTCACAATGTACCAAACCCACAGATGAACTTAGAATTACACTCATTTTTTTGAGGTGGATATCCATCCACACATCCCTGGGCAGAGAACAAGGAACAGCTCCCCTTTACTGGAGACATTGGCCAGGTGGTCAAGGGTGAATGTGATCTGACCAATGTCTGAGGATGATGCAATAACCCCCCAGAGCTGCTGGCACACACTGCCTGAGAAAGTTTCAAGAAAGCAGAGTGGAGAATTTGGCTTTAAATGCTAATGCAGGTGTGTAAGAGATACTGGAGGGGGACGAGAGGGAGTTTGAAGAAGTAACAGACCAAGACATAGCTCAGGATCTTACTAAGAAACATTGAAAAATGTAAAAAAATGCAACCACTGCGAACGGGCAGCATTAAAAAAGATCCTGACAGCCTTGGCAACAAAAGCATGATGCTTACCTTTCTTCTTTGAGCAGGTTGAAGGGAAATCCTTGTCTTCTACCTTGACAGAGGGCCTGTTGCACTTCATCCTGCAGAAGAAGGAGCGCCGTGCCCCGGAGCAGAGGCGCGAGGGCCCGGGCGTGATGTCTGTCTTGACCGGGAGTCCGGCTGCGAGCGAGGGAGGCAGGGTCAGAGAGAACCACCCCAAACCCACCCCACAGTGCTTCAACCCCACCGGGCCTTGCCTCTCCTGCTTCTGAGGTTCTGATGTGTGTGACTGTGCAGGACCCAGCTGGTCATACTGATACCTCGGGTTTTAGCTTTTTATTTTTTCTTTCTTTTCGATTTTGTGCTGCTTTGGTGTGGGTTTCATATAAGGGGTAGTAAGGTGTGAGTTTTCATATAAGGGGATAGTAAGGTGTGGGGTTTCATATAAGGGGTAGTAAGGTGTGAGTTTTCATATAAGGGGATAGTAAGGTGTGGGGTTTCATATAAGGGGTAGTAAGGTGTGAGTTTTCGTATAAGGGGATAGTAAGGTGTGGGTCTGGGTTTCATGTCAGGGGATGGTAAGCTCTCTTCACAGAGTAGGTAGACACAGCAATTCCTTCTCTAGCTGGGGACCCAAGGACAGCCAATCCAGATCTCAGGCCCAAGAGCATAAACAGCGTGGACTGAAGAGAGAAAAAACCAAGAAGGATGCGACTGCATGGGCTGGAGCTGTGGTTGGACAATTAGCTCCAATATGCTAATGGACCAAAACTGGTAAAAATGTGAGCTCTCGTGACCAAGCCCTCCTTTGCTTCTATCTTAGGGCCATCTAGGTACTGCCAGGGTGTGGCCTTTGAAGGCTCTTCAACAAATATCCACTTTATTCCCAATAACTCTGTCTTGCCTCTGTTCCAGCTCCTTAGGGCATCAATACCAACACTGCAACTTCTGACTCTGGTTTCTGCTGTTAGAGCACTGAGGCTGGAGAACACGGGGTTCTGAGTGCAGAGATCAGCAAGAGATTGGACAAATCCACACAAGTCCTGTGATAAACACTGCCATTTCTCTGAACTGGTTAAAAACAGAGAGATTACTCTATTATTATTCTGAGATTACCCAGAATTCCATACACAGTCACTCAGGAGGCTCCTGACCCTTCAGACTGGCACTTTTCTATCACAACACCCTCCCAGAAAACATGTGCATATGGAGCAGAAGAGTCCAAATGACACTCCAGGGAGAGATGGAGGAGAAAAGGTAGCAGGGACCCACACAGGAACTGCAAATCCCCAAGACCTCCAGTTATGTCTCAGAAGTCTCTCTTGCCTTGCAGAAATAATTGCACATGGACATGCCCCAACTATAAATCCTGACCTTTATCAGATTCTCACAGGGGATTCTTTTCTGTGGGAAAACCAACCAAAACACACCAGTCTGAGCCACCAGCAGAGTGCTGGTACCACCAGGGCTCTGGGAAGACGTGGAATGCTCCATGGCATGCATCAGGAGCACAGGTATCAGCAAGGCCAATGCTCCAAGGGCTGCTGGAGGATTTCAATCACACAGCAGCTTTTCCACAGCCTGCCATCCACTCCAACCATGACTGCAGGGGGATATGTAAAATCAAGCAGCTGTCAACATGAACAAAAACTTCTCAGGCCTTGTGGGCTTTTAACGTAATTCCAGTATTCTAGTGGAAAATGTGCCTCCCTTACAATTCCACTGGAGTGAGGTGATCTCCAGGAGGTCAGGCTGCCCTGCACCACATGGCCTCCACACTGCTGCACCATGGTGTGAGTACAAGCTGTGCTGAGTTACTCATGCCAAGACAAAAATAAATACATGCATACATCCTCATACTCTTCACCAGTATGAGTTCTTGAAACTCTACCAATCCGTCTATCATAGCAGATGGGAAGACTGTAATTCATAGTATTTATTTTTGCCCTAACTTTGTCAGAGCCATACAAAAAAAAAAAAAAAACCCACAAAAAAAGCCAACAAAAAACCAGGAGGCAGCACTGGATATTCATGCTTGACAACCAATGAAACCAGGAGCCAGAAAAAAACTTCAGCTGATTCTGCTGAAGCCTCCAGGCTCCCTGCCCTCAAATGATCTCCCCCAACTTCAGTTTCTGAAGTTGAGCTGGTGGCTTCTGTGAGCTGAGATCCAGGAGATTTCTGCTCCTGACAAGCATGAGACTTAATGGCCTGGAAATCTGCAGTTGTAAGATACCACCTTCCACTTAAGCAGTGCAGACTCCTGTTATGAGAGGGAATTAAACACCCACTCACCCCAAGAGCAGCAGAGATTCAGAACTACTTGAAAATACCAGAATGGAACAGAGCTAAGAGACATGGCAGGAAATTATTCCAAAGTTAAAAACCTTCTGAGAGAAAGGTTGGGTCACTGATGGCAGTAAGCAATAAATAAGTAGATAAATAAAATGAATCCTCTATCTTGGCTGACAGCTAAGGACTACCAAGATAATACTGAGTGTATTCTGACCATTTAGAATGATGGATTAGAAGAAATGGAAAAAGTTAAAGGTTTGATGCCTGGAAGAGAGAGGACACCTCCCAGGTGAAGCCAGTTCCAGTAATGCCTCTGTGCCACAGTGCATGCCAAACCCAACAGCTTCCAGGAACTTGTTTCACACTTTGTTTTTCCTTTTTTTGTTTCTTGCTGTCTTTCAGCTACAACTTGCTTGGCATGAGACAATCCAGGCAGCATCCCCCCCATCCCCACTCGTGACATGAGGCAAAGCCCCAGCAGCAGTGACTCTGGGTGACATTGTGCCCAAAGCTGGGAACACTCACTTTTTGCATCTATAAGTCTTTCTCGTGGCGCGGTGTCAGAAGAAGAGAGCTGCTCCTTCACTTTGGCAATGTCTTTAGGATGGAGATAATCAAATAAACTTTGACCAATCAAATCATTCTGTAGAGATTGAACATTCAGTCAAAAAGTAAAATAATGGCTCAGTATGTTTTCTTCATTTTAGCATCCAGTATGAACAATCCTTTTACACATAGGTGTAACCAAGGAATACCAAACATCCAGATCCAGCCTCATTGCAGGGGGTTTGGACTGGATGACCTTTCAAGGGTCCCTTCCAAACAAACTACTTTAGTGCTAAATGATTTGATGGAAGGTTTTCTCTGTGTATTGAAGTTATGACTACATTACACAGCAATCCCTGTCATCATTTTCAGTAAGAGTTTTGCATGAATTGGCATGCTCAATTCCCCCCCGCCAAATATTCTGGTTTCTACTCAAGTCTTACTTCTACCACACATTTGAATGAAGAAAAATCCTAATTGCAAATGTGCTCTTTCATTATTTACATATGAATTTAGTATATACCTAACTAAATGCTGTCTGAGGAAAACTTTTGAAGCTAATACAGGTTTAGATTTGATGAGGAGTGCAGATGACAGAAAGAATTAAGATTATTTACACAATACATGGTCCAACTTAAGCCTTATGTTGAGCATATATTAAAAACCTGGCTTTGATATAACTACTTTCCAGTTTCCATCCAGTTTCCATCAATGCAAGCAAAACCAGAACAGGTAGAAAGAAAACTAAGCTGAAAAATCCATGTGATGCTGCTGGAAAAACCCCAGACTGATGTTTCAATATTTGCTTGCACTCCCAATTAGGTAATGCTTTTGCAAGCCTGAGGGTAAATCCTTGGGCAGAATGCCTCAATCAGTGAATTAAATTTAGTTCCTTTTCACCTCTTGCTTTGAATGGAAACCAGAAAGAATCTTCTCTAATGACATGGCAGAGAAAAGCTCTCTCTCCTTGCAGCACCTCTCACCTTTCAAGAGAGACTCTTCCCTACCCCCCCAGATAAAGGCACAACCATCAAAAAGCTCTCAAATCTTTTAAGACCTAATGTACTTAAAATGGAAAGGAATACCTGACTGTAGTTGAGGATCTTGAAGACAGATTCTGAAACAAACAGTATCTTTCCTCTGTCACAGCCCACAACAAAAAGGAATCCATCTGCTGCCTAATTGGGGGGGGAAGTGAAATCCCAAGTTATACATCCACATTGCCTCGTTATAACCTTTAAAAGCACTTTGTGTACAGTAGAATTTCTACACTAGGAGAGCTGTCTTAACATTTAGAAGTAACTGAGTCAACAGGAAAAAATGTGAATTACAATGAAGGGGTTTTTTGCATCTGCAAACATTTTTTGGCACGATTCTGGGCATTGTGCCCAGAATGTAAAATAACTTTTAGGAGAAGAAAGAACCCAGGTCTTGTCCAATAATATTATGATTATGTTTAATAATGCCTTCAAATTAAAATGTTATTTTAACTGTACTTAAAAAAGCTCCTCTTTTAGAAACCAACCATAACCTGGATATTTATTTCTGTGCCTAGAGTCAAGCAATTCCTATTTGCAAAGTACTGTCTTTTAGTCACACACAGGCATGCAGGAATAGGCCCCAATTATGTATCTTCAGAGTCACAATGCTGCAGAAATTAAATTCTACATATGCTGCACCTGGACACTGCAGTGCTTCAACAATTACACAGCCACTAGAAAAGCTTAACTACTGACTAATGAGAGAAGAGAGGAGCTCCCCACACTATAAAAGCAGTGTAACAGCAGGCAGCCAAACACACTAAGTCATGTTACATCAGAAACCTCAATGAAAAGGTGTTCATTGTATCACTGCACACTGAAAATCATGGCAAGGTAACCCAGGGCAGCAAGCCCACAAGAAAACTATTCATGTGGTTTGTACATGTAATAACCGAAGAGTCCAATGGTCCCCATCTAAATCGCCCTCTTCAACCCTCCTGCTTAAATTAAGAAATGCTAGTCATCATTAAACACACTGACTCTGTAAGTAGGCTCCAGATTTCTTAATTATCCTCCATAATCAAAACATTTTTAAGCTGATAGACAAGGCAGAAAAATACTGGTGGTGGGCTTTGGGAGAGCTATAGTCACAGATATTAATATCTCTTAATTAATTAAAAGTTGGAACATACCCTGAGAATAAGGTGTTTTAATTCATCATCTGATAGAAAAGCAGGCTTGTAGTTTGCTTCTGTATATGGGTTTGTAGCACCTAAAGGAAACAAACAAACAATTCCCACATCACCAACACTACACACTTAAATGAGCAATCTTCCTTTGGCTCCTTCTTAGGCTGCTGTTCATTGCAGGAGTTCTTCAAAATGAACTTGTTTTGGTTTTACTATCAACATGAGCTCTGTTGGTATTAACTTAAAAAAGGATGAAGCTTTTTTTTGCCAAGACACAAGTACTGCATTAGAAATGCAAATTAAATGCCTCTGAGATATAAAAGTATTCCTTGACATAGTTGTGAACCCAAAGGCTGTCCTTGATTTATGGCCTGGTCTCAGAAGTAGAAATTATAACAATAAGATATTAAAGAATAAAAACATTCAAACTATTTCTTCACCTTATAACTCAGAAAAACATGACAAGGTTATGTAAACAAATCATCACTGAGGAATTTACAAATCAACTCTCTCATTCCAAGCCAAAGATAAAACCCAGCATTACAATGACATCATCTTACAATGCCAAAACCCCAAAATTGGCAACAAATGAGGCAGCTATTTATTAAGGAGTAATTCTTCTCATTCTGTTCTCTTCATAAAGGCAGAGGAGAGTCAAATTAGTAACCACTGAAGTGTTATAAAGTATTAACCTCATCAAATGACAGTGGCAGGAAAGCTAAGCCTTCCAAAACTGTGAGGCTAAATATGACTGAAGGCACAGCTCTCCTAGAAATGACAACAATCACCAGGGTCTTCTTTACCATTCTTTACCCTTTTTTCTTCTCAGTAATGCATTTCTTGAAGGCTTAAAGCTTTGAACATCAGCACCAATTGTACTCAGGCACTGATTCAGTCATGTGAAGCTTTAGGAACACACAGTGATTTCTCACAACCTCAACTCTTCCAAACCTGTGTGTTTCCCTTCAAGCGCTTGCAACAGAAACTGGTCAAAAAGACCAAAATTAAGTTTTCAAAGTACTCTCTATTTTTTCACACAGACCTAAAGGTACAAACAGAAAACCTTACAAGTCCTGTGGGAATACCATACCTAAAATCTAACCTCTCTATCCAACAACCTGGTACATTGCCTGCTTAGAGCAGTGCTCAGTAGTGCACCACAATCAACTGTGCACTGCCCTTAAGCCCTTTGTTCCCTCTCCCCACATGCCCCAGCTGCCTTGGTGCAGTGGAGTCTGGCAGTAGTGATAAATGGATGGAAAATTATCCTTTTCTCATCCCCAGGTTCCCCCAGTCACGTCAGGGTATTTACTGGACCATGAACTAGGAAGCTGTGAATGAAAACTGAGCATCAGATGCTAAGAGAAGGGAGGAATCCTCCCAAAATGAATTAATATTGTATTTGTGGGGACCCTCGTGGCAGCGAGGAATGATGGATCTGACTCCATGTTCCCAGAAGGCTAATTTATTATTTTGTGATACTATATTATATTAAAGAATACTAAACTAAAGAATACAGAAAGGACTTCCCAGAGCCCCGACACAGCTTGGCACTCATTGCCCAGAGTCAAAACAACTCACACCAGAATCCAATCAAACAATCACCTGTGGTAAACAATCTCCAAACATATTCCACATGAGCAAAACAGAGGAGAAGCAAATGAGACATTTACTGGTTTCCTTTTCTCTGAGGCTTCTCAGCTTCCCAGGAGAAAAATCCTGGGCAAAGGGATTTTTCTGGAGAATGTGAATGTGACAAATTAACTTACTCCTTTGGGGCAAAAAGGGGAGAGGAAAAGCAGCGTGGCTTTGGGGAAATGCCACTTGGAATGGCCCTGCAGCCCCAGGGAACTCACCACGAAGTGTTTTCATGTGCTGGACAGCCATCCTGAGCACGGTGAGCTTGTCCAGCTTGCGGGACATGGCGTTGCACGTGGGCACCAGCGAGGCCAGCTCGTCGATGAAGCTGTTCATCTTATCCCTGCGCCGCTTCTCGATCTGGCTGTGAGCCTCCCTGCACACACACACACAGCAGGGCACGTCAAACACATGGGACAATGCCCAAAGCAACCTCCTCAGGGTGAGGGAGCCACCCTGTTATCCTCATGGAAAGGACAGCAGGCACTCTGCAGATGTTTGATGTATGTGAAACACAAGGAGCAATGCCCAAAGGGAGCCACCCTGTTATCCTCGTGGACAGGACAGCAGGCACTCTGCAGATGTTTGATGCATGTGAAACACAAGGAGCAATGCCCAAAGGGAGCCACCCTGTTATCCTCATGGAAAGGACAGCAGGCACTCTGCAGATGTTTGATGTATGTGAAACACAAGGAGCAATGCCCAAAGCAACCCTCCTCAGGGCGAGGGAGCCACCCTGTTATCCTCGTGGAAAGGATAGTAGAGACTCTTGAGGCAGAGTAGAAATTTTGCAGGGTAGAAATCCATTTTGATTTAGGTAGAATGAACATCTTTAAGTATGCAGCTTGCTGTGTAGTCTAGCTGCAAAAAGCCTGGGCTCAGAGAAACTGCTTCAGTGAAAGACAGAGATAAGGGGAGGGGGGGAGACAGTGGGTGATAGAGAGAGACAGAGACTGCTGTGAGAGCAGGTCAGCCTGACCTAGGAGTTCTTTCTGATAAAGAAGAACTAGCAGGAAACGTCACATGAAATTTGTGAAAATGAATATGTATGAACCTATTGTGAAATGGTATGCATATGTATTTGAGAAGGGGATAAAAAGGGACCTAAGTTCCCAGAAGTACACATGTCTTTTAAGGACAGCAATCTCCACATCCAGTGTCCAGTGTTGTAATAAACATACCGGCTTTACAACTTTCACAAAAGTTGCAGTTTTGTTTATCTCTGCAAAACACTCTTCAGATATTTGATGTACATGAAGCACAAGGAGCAAGGCCCAAAGCAAGCTCCTCAGGGTGAGGGAGCCACTCTGTTATCCTCATGGAAAGGATAGCAGACACTCTGCAGATATTTGTTGTGAATTATTTGAGTAAAGAACAGTTATAAGCAACGGGAAAGGTTGCAGCACAAGCTTGTGGTTTGCCAGAAAACACACTCAGTGTTGGTCAGGTTTATATTTTCCATATTAAGATTCACTGCTAACACTTTCACAACCCACTATGGAGTCTGAAAGAAGAATGATGAAGAATGTAACATTACCAGAAACATTTCTGGCTTCAATTTCAACAGCAATGAGGTGACTAAAACCAAGTTACTCACCAAATTAGTTGTTTCACCCTATGCAAACTTAATAAAAAATGTCAACAGTGCAAACATATGTAAAAATAAGGGAAGGTCAAAGCTAGAAAAAGATATTTGCAGAAGAAACATGCACAAATAATTCATACATGGCAAAAAGAAAGAGACAATTCTTTTAAATATATTTGTTTAGAGCATTACCTTGCATTTTTTATCCTGCCTTGTTGGTCTGCATACTCCAATCTGTTGAGAAATGACATCACAAAGTTACAGTGTTGAAAGAACTCAACCCAACTCTTTTACTGCATCTCACATCCTACTGATCCTCATTAACATCAGGTTTTTTTAGAATTTGAATGCTTATTCAACCTTTCTACAGCAAAGATCAGGATCTGTAGCATTGCACCTCAGACCTGGGGGTGTTTTAGCTTGTCTGCTCCATGTTGTTTAAACTAAGGTTATTTAGATTATTGCTTCATGCCAACAAAGCAATAATTTGGGACCACAGTGACACTGAGAACAGGCATCCACAGTCAGGATCCTGTGTCAGAACTGTGGAACTGAGATTTCAGTGACTGTATCAACAGTACCTTCCATGTTGGTCATCTTTATCTGTATCCATACCTTCCCTGCAGAAACAGAACAAAGCAACACATCACAAATTCAGCAGGACTTGCAGAACTGTTATCCAACCACCACAAAGTCAGAATCAAGTATTCCTGCCACCTCCAAATCACAAACACAAAAATAGGAGTATAAAAACAACAACCTGGAAGGACTAAGGAAGCTGTGTGGTTTTGTAACATTAAAACATTTTCTTAAATTAGTTGTGTCTCCTTCAGAACTCACTAAATGGCACAGTTTGATGTGTTTGACAGTAAAACATGCTGCAGTTCAAAGATATCATCTGTTACAAAAATGTTTTTCAGTTAACTACAGGAGGGGGAAAAAACCCAACCATGTGCAGATGCTTTCATGTTCTATAGCTCAGTTTGCCTTATAGTAGTTGATTTTGGGGTAGAAAATGGTAATAACCTAAATTAACACACCACTGGAGATGGCCAAATGCAAGGAGAGAATAAAAGTCTGTGTGAAACTAACCAGTCACACTGGAGATTAGTACAACTTTCAGGGTAGACACATGGTTTGCTTTTGTTTCAACATGAAGAAAAGAAGGAAGGAGAAAGGCATGAAAAATAGAAACAATCCCCCTCATTACATTCAATATTGTAGCCACATGTGCACAACTAAGCAGGAGAGGAGAGTATAAAAGTTTTCATAGCTGCACTTGGTAGAAAGAGCTAAATGCTCATGACTACACATCTTTTTTAAGACAAGATAACTAGGAAGAGAATGTTTTGGTTTACATCAATCTGTACAACTGTGCTCACATGGACATTCCTAGGCCTGCTCATTCTGGTTTAATTTCTACCTGTGAATTTTAGGTCTATGGAAGCAAAAGGCAGGGGAAAAAAACCACTGGGCATCTTTTTCAAGTGAAACCAATTACTAAAATATTTATACTTACTCAAAAGGAAAGCCATCGAGTCTGAAAAGAAAGAAAAATAAAGTACACCATATATAGGAAATAAGAACAATGTCTTACATTTTCTGCTGAAATTCTCAAGCTAATTCAGATTCTACTTGAAATGAAAAGCACAATGGAAACAGGACAATAGCAGAGAGTGTTTTCTAAAGAAACAAGCTCGTTCAAATTAATCTACTTTCTGAAAGAATAATTCTGCTTTTTAAGAAAAGAGAGCATAGTTCATTACACTTAATGTGAAAAACTAATAAAATAACTAACCTAAATTATGTTATGCAAATCATTGAGATATTGTTTCATCTTCAGAAAGGAAAGATCTGTGCTTTATGCGTGTTGTCCTTGTGGTTAGATAAATGGGATTTCAGAGGACTCTAAGGCCAGAAATAAAACATAAAAATAAAAATAAAGTATCCCAAGTTTCTCAGTTTCTGACTCTTGCCCAGCAGGATAGATGCACATTTTGCTTTAGTCTAAAGTCCCAAGCTGAACTTTATACAGACTTTATGATATCACAAGGAAATTAAACAGAATTTCTACATGCAAACCAACTGCTGGCATCACTTCAAGAATCTAAAGTGACCTGAAATAGCACTGAGCTTTACCATGATAAGAGGCTATGTTTTATAAAAGCCTTATGAAAAAGTCTTCTCATCTCAGCCAATAACATGCCTGTTATTCCTGTTCAACACTGGACACGAGCCCTCTTAACAATAAACATGGTAGCCTTTCATTTTAGTGCAGTATTATTCATTTTAGTGCAGTATTACTCACTGCACTCTTATATAAATTATCTTTGTGATTAGTTTTACAATAATATTAATAATAATGCTAAATGTTTTCTTCATCTCCCAGCCTGCACACCTGAGCTATTGTCTTAGCCACTGAACTGCTGATGCTCACAATTTAACAGCCCTTGTGACACCACCTTTAGCTCTGGGATGTTTGTGTGTAAAAAGCCCCAGAAAGCCAAATCTAGAAGAGGCACAAGGTAAGTTATTAATGCAACAGGGAGTTTATTTTCTCATCATGTAATATTTCAATTGAAAGCATGAACCCCAAGCAAAATTCACTGTTCACAGTCCTGTTCATGAAGCTTTGGACAACAGCATTTGTGAAGTGCTGTTCAAGTGACAGCAGTAAGGTGGGCAGGGATTTTCCTGGAGCAGTTGCAGCAGAAAGAACTAAACAGCTGCTGTGGAGAGCTGAAATTGCAGCTGATGACTCCTCTTGCTTGTATTCCAGAGGTGATCAAAGAACCACCGTAAAACACTGGTTCTGCCTCCCTTATTCCCTGGCTTCACTGGTACAGGAAGCATCAAACTGGGCACTTGGATAATTGATGTAATAAAACCATTAACAGGTAGCAGAAGTTGAACAGAAGCATTTCTGAACATTTGCCCATACATACACGTATAAGGAGGGGTCAAGGCAGCCTCCCTTAAGTTCTGCTTTCCAAGAGGAATATTTAGTATCCACCATTTACTTTGCAACACAAAATGAACTATGTGATAAGTAGTGGTATGTAGTGTATGACTACAAAATAAGTAAAATTATTTTACTAAGGATTCAAGGAAACAGTTTTCACACATTTTAAAAAATGCAGACAAAACTTAAGGGGCAGAATTATACCTTACAAGAACAAGCTGTCTTTTGGAAAAGAGGGCTTGAGTAATGATTCCTACCCAGAGGAATAAAAAAGGAGAAATCCTTTCTAGAGAAGAGGAAGTTGGTAGGATTGAGGCAGTTCACTCAATTTTGTAGTACTCAATTCGACTAGAGGGACACACGTGCTTTTCAGGGAGACTAAAGGCAGTTCAGAGAGGTATTTAAATATTTTGTGCCTAAGTTCTCCTAAAAAGAATCTAATTCTTAATTGTGATGCTCGGCATGGATTAAAAATTCTGCTCCTCCTCGTAAACAGAGCTGCCAACAATCCAAAGGCCCTCAGCAATAAAGTCTGTGCTAAGTTACATAAAAATGGACTCTGTGGCTGAATGAATGAATAATGGATGTGGCCACTCACAAGTTCCCCTGCAGCCACACTTTGTAAAATTACAATGCAGAGGAGGCTTGCACAGGCACTTGCAGTAAGTAGGTTGCTCTTGCTGTTCCCAGTGCAGGAACTGGTCTGGGGGCTTGGCAAACTCTGCTGTGCCCTTCACTGCTCTGCAGCAGAGGTGGTGGGATTTCCTTCTACAGCTGAGAACCACTACAGGATTAAGCCAGTTGATTAAAAGAAAGACAGCTCTAATAGCTCAAACCAGAGACTATTCAGATTCATATTCAAATGAGAGACCAAAATAGCTTCATCAGGTAAAGGCTGGCAGCACACTGATAGGAAGTGACTAAATAGGCAAAAAATAGGTGAAGAGAAGGAACTACTCCTAGTTTTGCTTCCACTTTTCAACAAATTTATTATCTTCCCCTTCTGTTAGTCAGACATTGTACCTCCTATGTAAATGGTCAATATATAATCAACCTTCACACAGTACATTTCATCAGTACTAATTCCATTCCCCCACCAGCCAGAAGTTTTTCTTCTCAGCTTTACCCCATTTGATAGCCTTCAATTCTAGCTGCATTGAGATGACAGCTTTATTATTATTATTATTATTAAATAATGAACTTGGCTCTTAGTGCACAGTAGCTCTCTTCTTTATTAAAACCTTTAAAGCAGGTTGTAAAGCAGAGGTTATTTAAAAACTGCTATAAATATTTCTATAGTCTTCCCCACTGTATTGTTGTGCTACCACCTCCTTTTAGCAGTGCTAAATCGAGAGAAATCCAACTTACTGATAATCAGTTGAGCTTCCCTTTCTTTTCCTATTACAGTCCATTCCTGAAGTGCTAAGGGAACTGGAGATCAAGTCAGCAGGGTCTGGTGACATAAAGTCACTAATTGTAGAAGATATGTCCATCCTTTGGTCTGCCATTGGACTGTCTAACATTAGGGAAGAAATAAAAAACAACCCCCCAACCAAAACCACTGCATTAATATAAGCAGACACTTACATATTCTTAACCAAAAAAGTTATCTCAAACTTAGCATTCTTAAAAAACTGCAATATTCAGTTTCTATTTTTCCCTCTTGCTGTAAAAATAGCAGGTAATTTCTCCTTTTCCAGTTACTGCTGTATGGAGTATTGCACACAGACCATGACCATTCTCAAAACACATTATGTAACACAATTGTCTTTAAAGATTTGTCAGAATAATCTTGGCTTACTCTTATGTTACCTGGCCAGCCAATTGCTTCTTCCTAACAGGAATATTTCTGACAGGGAACACTTGTTTTAATGTGTCTCTGCATTTGAAGGTCATATAAGAGCTCACAAACTTTTAAAGTTCAATTTCCACTGAATTCAGAACATTTCCATAGAAATAAACACCTCTGCACAGCAGACTCCACAAATAAAAATATTAAAACCCGACGGTGGTCACAGAAGTCTAGTTAAAGGTAGAAATTAATCTAATTGGCTTTTTAATCCTCTAGACTGCAACTAATTCAAATCTTCACTATTTAATCCTCTAGACTGCAAATAATTACACTGTTGGAAGAAACCCTGTGAAAAGTTCCCTGCTAAATAGCATCAGCTGTGAAAGAGAAGAGGTTTTACCTGAAGGCCTGTCTTGGAAGCCTAAATCCACTTGGGCAAAGATGATGATGCTCAGCCCAAAGCAGCTGATAACCTTAGAACTCTTCCATGCCTCATGTTCTGTTGGTCAAATACTTTCAAAAACCTGAATGGGAGGAAAAACCAGCAAGCTTAAAAAACACCTTAAAAACAATTAGTTTAGTCACAGTTTATAAAAGCAATGGATGTTTCCAGCTCAGGGATCAAACACTCATTTCCTTACAAAGTGTAGAAGCTTTATCCATCCATCCAAAGGGTTAGCTGTTGGGATGTGCCTCTCCAATGGACCAAGCTTTGGGCAGAAGGAATCTCTGGCATCACCTCCTTTTTGGTCCTTTTACCATGCTCTGGTCTTTGCACAAACCCCCTCTGCTCACAGTGATCACAGGGTGACAATCACGAGCACATCTGCTGCCAGAATGAGTTAAATTGCTGTCACAGAGCAAAGGACAGACTTACCCTTCAGTCCTGACTGCCTTACTCTAAGGGTGGTCCTAACTTTGGGCTTGGCTCACTGTTTTGTTTGCCACTGTAACAGCAGTTAGCATCTTCGAAGGACAGGGGTTAAACACGTGCAGGCTTCAGGTTTTATACAAAATGCACATCCCACACTGCAACTCAAGCCCTCAGATGTGTCTCCCAACTATACTACAAACACACGGATGCCCTTCCCTTCCACACTGCTGTCACAAAACAAGTTTTTCAGCAACACTTACTGAGGGAGATTTAGAAACTGTTTGACATTTTCCTCCTTCAAGAAAACTTCCAAAGTCCATTGGACACACAGTTTTCTGACTGATGCACCTGTGAACATCCTGACTGCCTTTCCAGCCTGTGACAGCAGTAGAACTGCCCAAGTACACAGAACAAGCAGCTCCCATGGCACTCTCAGGAGTTTACAAGCCAAACATCCTGTCAACATGATCACACTGTAACCAATTCTGCTGAAGCATGTATGTAGACATGATAGAAGTTATTAGCCAAAAAAAATCTAAAGCTGCTTGTTATCATTTTCTTCGGCTCTGCCAGAACAGCAAATTCAGAATTTCACAAGCTTAAATTATCTAAATTTCTGCTCCTGGCACTGTAAGGTCAGGCAAGTCATTGTCTTGGTACCACCAATACTGAAGGGAGGATCACTGCTGCCCCAGCAGCACAGCATCCAAAGGGTTGCTGAGGGCTCATTGTCCATCTCACCCAACAACTCCTCTGTGCTCCTTTCCCAAATAAATAACCCAACCCCTTTTCCATTCCTGAGAATGTGTGCACATACTGCTAGAGGCACATTAAGAGGCTAGCTGGCACCAGAACTGACCAAAGCTAAATCAGTACAAATTTAAGTCAAATTATGAAATGCCATTGAATCCATAACCACATTTGTTTTGCAAGGCTTTCATTCACACCCGTAGCTATTTGTAGGTCAGGCCCTACTGTCTCCCTATTTTCCCAGCTGTCTCTCTTAGCCCCAGCAGCCCAACAGACTCAGTGGTGTTCCTGTGGTGGATGAGGTTGCTGCATCTCAATTTACCAGTAAAACCAGTCACTGGCTATTCATCTGTGCTAGGTTCAGACCCAACCCATCCTCTTCTCTCAGTCGATGTGCAGAAATTAGTTATAGCTAAACTTAGTGTGTTTCTGAACACCTCTCTATGTGAGGGTGCAGGCTGAACTCACATTTTACTGCATTAGGAAACTTCATGGACCACCTATGATGACCTGAGGCAGAAGGCTGGGATGAGCTGGAATGAACAAAGAAAAAAGGGGGTGGAGGGAAAAGGGTTTGTAAGTTTACCCCAGTCCTCTCTCTTTAAGAATGCCTGCAACAGTCAGCATTTTAGCTTCAGAACCAGAACACTGCACAAGTCACCCTGCACTAATGTTCATCTCAAACAAAAATTTCATATCAGTTTTATAGAAAAAAAATTTAAATCAACTATCCCTTCAGCTGTACTATTTTATACCTGTCTATATTTGATAGTTTCAAAGCAGCTATTTTAAGTGTCTTGACCATTTGAGCAGAAAAAATACATAAAGATCAGAATTCTCAATTTAATTTTCAGTCAGCCCTTTCTCTACCCTGTCCCAAATGCTCACCCAGTCCTAACAATCAAAGTCCTACATTTTAGCATCACAGGAGTTAAGAACTCTGCATGTCTCTTGAAATGAGTTTTAAAGTTAAGAAGATGTCAACTCAATGATCAGAGCAAAAATCAGCATGCCCCACTAAATAGTGAACAGTTCAGAGAAATGTTTTTTCACAAGGCTTTCTTAAAATCCTAGGAAATTGAATATTTTCTGTCTTTTCAGCCTCCATTTGCTGGATGTTCAATGCCTAAAAGAAATTCTCTCTGAGGAGGACCACAAAAGTTACCCATATATTTAAGCCAAGTTCAAATCTTCCATTTATGATGCCAAACTTGTTGCCAAAGTACTCTAAGGACCTACTTGAAAAAAAAGCCATGGAGTCTACTTCCTGATTGAATTCTCCTACAGAGGGGAATCAAACGGTATTTTGTCACTGCATCCACGACAGTTTGTCTCTACCGTACTTTGGGACTCCTTGGGATTCCCCTTCCTTGCATTTCCTCTTCCTCTGATCCCCTGAAACAAGGCTAATGAGACAGCAAAAATAAATCTTACTGTTAGTCCCTTAAAAAAAAAGTGAGATGGCACGTGACCAGCTTAATCATGCAGCAAAGCTGATCACGAGTACACAAACACCTCTGAGCAAATCAAGGTCACTGCTAAAGTAGGTCAACACCCAGAGTCAGGACCTTTTTCCACAAGCCCCATCAGCTCTGGCTCCCCCAGGCAAGAGGCAGCCATGCTCAAGGCAGGCAGGGATTTCTTCTGAAAAGAAATGCAATTCATAACTTCAACAATCACGAGTGTCTCAGATCTCAAAGCGCAGTTTCGCAATGACAGAGGAAAACCGTGGTGTGGTTTCCTGAAGAAGTCATTGAGAAGATACTCACTGTCCCTGTGGGGAATGACTGAACCAAAAACAGCCCCAGAAAGGAAACCATCTACTTCCCTTCACAACAGCAGTCCACTGCTGGAGCTCAGTGTCACAGCACAAGCTGGTACAAAACTGAAAAAGAGGTTCTTCATCTTCCCTAGCAGCAGTTTGCTGCCACTGGAGGCTCCCAGCACACTTGCACTCAGTGGTGGGGAGATTTCAGCTCAGCAGCACAAGGACTCCAAATGTCCCCAGGATGATCTCAAGATGCAAACCAGCATCCATGGGCTCAATGCTGCAAGTAACATCAGAGCCTTTGTGACAGTGTTCACAGGGGTCTGAGGATGAGGGAAGAGATGAGGATCTGACTCCATGTTTCAGGAGGCTGATTTATTATTTTATGATATATATTATATTAAAACTACACTAAAAGAGTAGAAGAAAGGATTTCATCAGAAGGCCAGCTAAGAATAGAAAAAGAAGGAATGACAACAAAGGTTTGTGGCTCGGGCTCTCTGTCTGAGCCAGCTGACTGTGATTGGCCATTAATTAGAAACAAACACATGAGACCAATCCCAGATGCACCTGTTGCATTCCACAGCATTAGGTAACCATTGTTTGCATTTTGTTCCTGAGGCCTCTCAGCTTCTCAGGAGAAAAAATCCTAAAGAAAGGATTTTTCATAAAATATCATGACTACAAGCCTTTATTATGGAATGCTCCATAGGAATCACAGGAAGATCTTTGAAGTTAAGCAGGGTAGTTCCCTTTGCCCTCAGTACTTAAGGAATACCTAAGTCAGAATACTTCCCACCTGCCCAATATATTGATACTGTTTGGTTCTAATGGCTCCCTAACACTATTTGCAAGTACTCTGCACTTCCAGAAAAAAGCCCTGTGGCTTCCTCTCACACACAGATGCATCTCACCACTCTCTGGTGCAAAGAAGGGATTTTACCCTGCTGTGTTTTTTGAGGTCACCCTCCTACCACTGAGTCCTCAGCATGCCCATCTGTTGGAATCCTGGATGCTGAGAATTTTAAACTTTGTGTGCTGAAAGGCAAAGACCCACAAGAGAACACTGCATTTGACCTGAGGCCATGGAGAAGGCTCCCAAAATTGATTGATAGCACTGGGATTATGGGTGTGTAGTTGGTTAGAAGTGTGAAATATCACAGGGTGGAAAACTCAGAGTTTGGGATTTTAGAATATAGAAATAAATATGAAGCAAGATGGAGGCTGTAGGGTAGAGGCAGGCTGTTCTTCACTTTCTTCTCCATGGGTTTGGATGGCATTTTGTAATTGGGCAGAAAAGTCCCCATTGCAGCTCTTTGGGATCAGTTATTGGGTTCAAAGGGAAAATAATCCAGGTGTCAGTTCTTAATTGGATAGTTTAGCTTTAAAAGCCCTTGTACCAAGAGATTGTTGGCCATTTTGTGCCTTCTAATGAAAAGCTGCTGAACTCACTGTAGTGAGACTGTTTCACTGATCAGAAATAATAAACACTGAGTCTGAACATGAATTACTGCCTCAAGTGCCTTCAATGCAGACCCAGAGAAACCAATACCCATCAGTCCCTGGCAGCCTGTGATTCACATCTGAGTTTTGGAACTCCTCCTGACATCATGTTTGGAGCCTGACCACACACCCAGAGCTGCTCCAGCCTCCTGCAGCCCCTCACCACAGGGAGCAGAGGCACAGCCCTCAGCTGCCCAAGAGACCCCCTCTTCCAACAGCTGCTCCCACCTTTCCTAAGCAAAAAGCAGCAGGCTGGAGGGAAGCAGCCCGTGAATTTTAACCACAAAGCTACAAGGCAAGGAATTTTGACATGCAGGGGGAAAAATTTCCAATAAACAGAAGAAAATCTCCACATGCAGTTTCTCAGTAGATCAATCTGTCCAGGTACACTCCCACACCAAAAGCATTTGCTCATCAGCAGAGTGTCTGAGAAAAGGCAGAACAGGTCACATCATGGCATCACCTTACAGCCTTCCAGACTCTCTCAGGGCTGATGGAGACACACAACAATGCGTTTTATCTTGTTCCCACAACACTGAGACTCAGATCAAGAGGGGTTTTGGTTCCTATCTCTCCTTGTTTATGAGGGAAAGTACCT